GGCCCTTATGGTGAAAGGTGGGTAAGAACTGAAAACAATAGCAACAGCATAGGAATAACTGTCTTCTAGTAGAGTCACTCCATCAAGCTCAGTATCGTCTATGATTACTGGCAGCAGCTCTCCAACCCTACTTGGAAAAAGTACTTGGAATCTACTGAATGCAAGGAAGATGCTCTATGCCTAAACTATAGCCCTTCCAATGTGATGCCCTCCAGATGCTGTTGAACCACATCTCCCACCACCATTGGCCATGCTGGCCGAGATTGATGAGAGTTGGGAGCCCAACAACATGTGGAAGATGACATGATGGTTATCCCTGCTCCAGATTTTTTTGGATTTCAACTCACGTACAAACATAAGAGCTTGCTGGATCAGGCCAGTGGGTCATCTAGTCCAGCATCCTGTTTTCATCACAGCCAACTTTCTGCATGCGGAGCAGATGTTCTGCTTCACCCACTGAAATTCCTTAATAGCCCTACTCTGGTTAATAGCCCTACTTAATAGCCCTACTCTGAACCTAGGGGGCAAGAGGCAGGGGAGGCAAGGCAAATTCTAGATAGACCCACCCAGAATAATACATACCAAATTGCTCTCGTTTCCAAGGTTGCTTATTTTGGTTGGCAACTGCAATTTACAGATGCAGCAACACAGCACTCCTCTTGCACAACCCAAATTTTACATATTTATGTTTCCACAGTCTCTCTCTCTCTTTTGCCTTTTCATTTCGTCTTTTTTTTTTTTTTTTGGTGTGGTCCCTTTAGGGTTTTGTTTTATTTTACTTTTAAAGTCTTAAGGAAAAGCCTACGCAACACTATTTAAATGAAGGCTGTGCGCGTAGGTAATGCCATTAATAATGCAGGCTTTGATTTCCGACCAGTCTCTTGTCTAACTTAGATGTTCAAGGAGAAAACTGGGTTTCTGCCACATTGGCAATGATAACAAGAGTTCTGAAGCTTACCAGGACGAGAGAATAAGCATATCAACCTTTTCATCAAAATTGCTTCCCATGGGGAAAGCTGTCACTATGACCCTCGTGCAGCTCATCGCAAAGACAGAACGCTGCAGAGACCGATCTTGAATGTTCTTTGGCGTGCTATGAACCAAGCATGCAACTGATGCTCCTGCTGTCATGGGCAGGTTTAGGAACATTTTTTAATCCATTGTATAAAACCAAGGGACTCACAGGGCTGCTGGCAGACACCAGCATCCTTGGGCAGCTACCAAGGGCACAAAATCCTACCAGAGCTCAGTGCTGTCATCTGTCTTCCAGCTCACCTACCCATCTCCTGGATTTGGGTATACCAAGTGGAAGGGCAGGGGGCATCAGGAAGCTGATGTTTTTACCCTACCACAAAGCCCCATGGTGACCCTGAGTTGGAGCACTGTGAAAGCATACCCCTATTGCTACATGTAGCTAGCTACCTGTACCTGCCTTTGGGTACCCACTGCATGAGGGAGGCTGGTGACTCCCAGAACAGAAGAGGTTGATCTGTTAGGGTAAGTGGGGCAGTATGCAGCCTGCCTTCTTCTTCATCGCCAGTCCAAAAGGTGGTACCGCCCATCAACTTCCTTGTCCTTACAGAACTCAGCAAGGAGGAAGATGTGACAAAACTAGAATAAGTTGGCTCTGCTTGTCGTTGGCTCTGCCTCCACATAGCGCTGTAAATGCATGGTGTGAATGTGACCTGTGACACCACTTTAAACAGTCATGGGTTTCCCCTAGAGCTGTAGTTTCCTAAGGATTCTGAGAGTTGTTAGGAGGCCCCTAGTCCCCTCACAGAGCTACAGTTCTCTGGGAAGGAGGACTGATTGTAACAAATAAAATAAATAATACACTTAACTGGTTTGGAGCAGAATCTGATGAGAATTTAATTGGGGATAGTTTAATTAAAGATAAACTGATATAAAGTATCCTGCAAACTAACTGAGGAATTTCTCAGGATGCAAAATTGGCAGACTTGATTTAAAATTCTAAATTTACATCTTTGCACTTAAGTTAGTATGTGCACGTTCATGTCTCTGGGTCTATGACCCAAGTCTTCCAAGTCTCTAGAGGTGCCACTTTCTCCCATTGATTTATGTGGAACTACTTTGGCTAGATTGTATCCTTCACCTCAGGGCCAGAGCCCATTCCTCCAGCACCCCAAGCTGTCTAGACAAAAGGCACCTTTGCTATTGAATGACTGAAACATCAAAAGCATACCGGGGCAAGAATAGAATGTGCCCATGCCTCTTGCTTGTCTGGATGAGGGACAGAGAGGTGTGTGAGAGCATATGTAGAAACTACTGTACAAAGGTAAAATTTACATTAGCAGCCCTGCCCATCCTTGCTTCTGGCCCCACCCACCATTGGTACATGGCCCCCAGAACATTTGCCGGAATGGAATGTGGCCCTTGGTTTTAAAAAAAGGTTCCCAACACTTATAATGGAAATCCATGAAAGTCCTCCATTAGCAATGCACCTTCAACTTGCAGAAATTAAAAGCATCATTCAGTCTACATGCATATACGCATGTATAGACTGATAGATATGGATTAGATATAGATACAGAACCTTTCTTAGTGGAATGATATGCACTGTGGGTATACTAAAACATTTTCATTGGCTATAGGACTAGCTGCATTCCAAGATCTGACTTACAGAACAAGAAAAACCTGAACACTTGCAGACCATTTTTCTTTTAAAAAAAAATTATTATTTTTTCCAAAGCAGGATGGGGTGGGAAGGAAAAGTTTCCACGTAAAATGAACAGCTGGTCTCCAGGTCATCTATACGGGAGAGGTGCTGCTCCAGGTTAATTTTCAGCAGCCTTCATGGTTTTTATTATTATTATTATTTGCTTTTAACTCACAGACTAATTGTGGTTCCATAAAATGAAATGAAAAAAACCCCACTGTGAAGGGGAGACTGACTCTCCTCCAAATAAATGACATTTTTCTCTTTTCCTTCCACAGGAGAGGGGAAAAAAGAGTTGACTGGTGCTCATGCTTTGAGGTCTGGATATGATTGAGATGAAACATCTGTTAAAGCGGGGGGAGAGAATGTGAAGAGAAGCAAAAACTTGCCTCCCCCCACTAAAAATACATCTTTCCCCCCTCCTCCTCAGCAAACTTAAAACATGTGATGAAATTCAACTTTTAAAATATAACCCCGAAGCTACTTGAAAGCTATAAAAGTCGCCTCAGAATCTGAGGCAAGTCAGAAATTCCACTGTTCACGCTGGGCTTTTATGAAGAGCAGACTTTAGGAGAGGGTGGGGGGGAAGGCTGTAATCTGTCTAGGTAACAAAGGCCACTTGTTCTGCCTGTGGAGCAAAAACTTTGGGTTTCTGCGGCTATTCCAAGCAGAAGTCGAGCCGAAAGCACACAATAGGCCCCTGGCTGCTCTCGCACTTTCAATCTGGGACAGCAAGCTGACCAAGGCAAGGTCCTCCCCCCATTTTTCTCTCTCTCCCTTCGCTTCCTCCTGCAATTGCTTCTGCCTATGTCTGTGCTTGGGTGTTTGTTATAGATTTGCCAAGACAATGGGGTTGTTGTGTCTGAAAACATTCGTCCATCCATCTCCCCGCCCCCACCCCGCCCCAAGGGGCTTCCAGAATTTAACAAACTTTATGAAAAGATAGCTTGGAAATTCCATTTCCTCGGGTGATTCTCCCTAACTGGGATACTTGCTTTCGAGCCAGAAGAGAGAAGGGAGGGACTGTTAGTTCTATACACAACACCGGGGGGGGGGGCGAGGCTTGGCTCAAACATACAGTGCAATTGCCCCTGAACTTTCAAAGAAAAAGCAGTGGGTTGTGGGGTCAATAGCTGCACCTTTGTGAAGATAGGGCATTCGGAATCAAGGGGCATCCTATTGTGTTCTATGGAGCTGAAAGGCTGTGGAATCAGAACCACGGTTTTTGGACATTTTTCGAGCAAACTCGAAGTTTCTCAGGAGGCTACAAGAGGTTCCACCATGAAAACATTAGCTATGCCTTCCCAGAAGGACAGCCTGTCTAGTGCTGCTTGTCCTTCCATCACAATGCAGAACTACAGGCTTATTGGGTGCATTTCATATCGAAAGATTCAGCAACCCATTTTGGCTTCTCCCAGTTTCTCATTGTTCCTATTTCAAGTTCAGTCCCCCATATTTCCACATCAGTTTGAGATATACGTATATATATATTTTTAAGAAACAATCCTCATCAGCATTTTAGTGCAGATTTCTCTCAATATGCATCTTTCACAAAGCAATTTCCCCCTAAAATATAAAGCGCATTTGTAAGTCATTATCACTAATTCATGCATTTCAATGTACACTTTACCGTAGCATACGCATTACTGGGCATGTTACTTGGCTGGAGAACTGAACTGCAAAAGCTGGGAAAATGTGAAAATTTCAGAGGGTAGTTGTGTTTATGTTGTGTTGTTGTTTGGTTGTGTTGCTTCAGAAAGGACGAATTAGGTAGGTTTGCTTTTAAATGTGAACCGAATCGAATTTCTCAGACATCCCTACATTCCAGCGTGCAGTCAGTTTATCCAGGGCAACATGATTAAGATCAACATCCCTGGCCAATATCCATTGTGAACTGTGAGTCTTCCTGGGGATAGCATTCCATAAAAAGGATGCCGCAGCAGAGATCGCCCTCTCCCCAGTCACCATCCACCTCGCTTACTTACTTACTTTCTTTCTTTCTGTTGTTATTATTCTTACTAATATTGTGTTCAGTCCTTGAGAACCTTCCATATTAAACAATGCAAGATGAAAAGCTTGTGAAGTTTTTTTTGGCAAAGCGAGAAGGATCAACCAAGCCAACGTCTGGAGTCCCTGAAGCATTCTACGCTACCACACAGCTCTCCATGTGAACTCAAGTTCAGTTTCGCTTACTAAATGAGCAGCTAGGAACAGAGGAACCTGCCTTACACTGAGTCAGACCACGGGTGCATCTCAGCACCGTTGACACCGACTAGCAGCTGCTTTCCGTGGTTTTGGGCAGCTGTCTTTTCTCATCCCTACCTGGCAACACCAGGGATTGAACCCAGGAGCTCTGGCACGCAATGCATGTGCTCTACCTCTGAGCTATGGCCCCAACTGGCATACTTTCCATTCTTTCATTACTGCTCCCCTCTTTTTCCCCTGTTCTCTTTCTTTGTGGGGGTTTGAGAGAAGGGGTGGGTGGGAGGATCTTTTGTGGGGATTCTGTGGTCCTCCCAACTCCCAGTCGTTTATCAGGGAGTATGGGTGGCAGGTGGCGTTGTGGCCTAAACCACTAAGCCTCTTGGGCTTGCTGATCAGAAGGTCGGTGGTTCGAATCCCCGCGACGGTGTGAGCTGCTGTTGCTCAGTCCCAGCTCCTGCCAACCTAGCAGTTCGAAAGCACGCCCCAAAAAAGTGCAAGTACAGAAATAGGTACCTCTCAGGTGGGAAGGTAAACGGCGTTTCTGTACGCTGTTCTGGTTTCGCCAGAAGCAGCTTAGTCATGCTGGCCACATGACCCAGAAAAAACTGTCTGCGGACAAACGCTGGCTCCCTCGTCCTATAAAGCGAGATGAGCACTGCAAGCCCAGAGACGTCTGCAACTGGACTTAACTGTCACTGGTCCTTTACCTTTTTTTTATGGGTGTTTTAGTCCAACAACACTGGTTGAAGCCCCCACTTCTGGCTTAAACTCTGTTGGGATAGCATGATGTTCTGGGAGAAAGGGTAGCAGGTGAGAGAAGGCATCCATAACCAAAACTGTAGCAACTTTGTTATAAACCGTTTATAACAAAAATCACACTTTCTTGACCATGACTCAAAAATGGGTACTGCTTTCAACAGCGCAGGCTAGAATTTTGATTCACTTTGCACAATATCAGTTATAAACAAGACCCTTCTAAACGCCACAGGGTGCGCAGGGAGGAGGATCAAGTAATAATCATTACTGGGCAATTAAAAGGAGAAAGGGGATCTTTGTTCCTCAAGCAGAATGAATTAAACCACTGACATTCGCCTTGTTTCCAAAGAGGCTGGGTTCAAAACACTTCACTGTCTTGAGCCCTTGCTGTAGTCACTGTTCACCTGCTGCGGTTGACCTTGAGCAGAGTTAGTCTCTCTCTCTCTCTCTCTCTCTCTCTCTCTCTCTCTCTGCTCGACACATTCAGCAACAGGCAGCCTTCTTTACCAATTCAGACAGTTTGTCCAATTGCCCAACAACTGCCGACTCTGACTGGCAGTGGCTCTCCAGGGTCCCAAGCGGAGACAGGTCTTCTCCACCCACTCACTTCCTGATCCTTTCAAGTAAGGATGCCAGAGATTGACACAGGAACTTCCCAAATGCTGTGTGTGTGTGTGTGTGTGTGTGTGTGTGTGTGTGTGTAATACCTATATGCAGCTATATCATTCTATTTCAGAATAAAAACAATAAAAACCCACATAAAAATATTAAAATTGGAAACCATCAACTATCAATTATGGGATGGCCCTGCAGAGGCAATTCCCCTTCCCAAGGAACTCTGGGATTTGTTGCCCTTTGAGGGGAATAGGGAACCCCTTTCAACTCTCAGCACCTTTGACAAACTACAGTTCCTAGGATTATTTGGAGGAAGGCATGACTGTTTAAAGTGGCATGATAATGCTCCAAATGCATGATGCAGAAGTGGCCTGAGTCACTGTCAGATGGCGGTGAAACACTTTCAGCCTGACATTTTTTGAAGAAGGAGGAAAAAAATCCAGCAGGCCAAATCATTTTGAAGCAGCAGCTTGGGAGATTTAAATTACCAGTCCTTGTCAAGGGAATGGTTCGAACTCTCTTATACACACAAGGGTATACCTTCCTTGCCACTCCCACCCCGTAGAGCGCATGGCAACACAAGACTTTCCTCTCATCTGCTGGTGAACAACCAACCTGCTTCTTACAATTTCCTGGATCGTTACAGAACCGCAGGAAGCCGTCTGCTAAGCCCTACCAGTCTCGTGTTTCTTTGGCGATTTTCATCCTGCCAGCCAAGCTAAACAGTTTCAACTTGGCACCCAGCTGTAGCTCCAACAGCAGCAGCAGCAGCAGCAGCAGCCCACTCCTGGCCAAACCGTTGTTTCATGGTACCTTTCCCATTTGCCAGCTTATCAATTTCCAGCTCAGGTGGCGCTTGGGTCCTTTTCGCACGTATAAAACATCACTTGGGTTTAGGGGAACCTCAGGCTCACATGCCCAACAAAGCAGTCTCTGCTTTTTCATCTGGCTCCCTGCAGTCCCCACCCCCACAATCAATGGCCCCTGGAAATCTGGCTCGAACTCATCTGGCCTCAAGCCCAATCTCTGTGGGCTGCATCAGCCAAGTTTGGGGTTCCACAGGAGGCTGGCAGGTCCAGGATGAAGGGGGATTCCAGCCAGAGGCCAAGGCAACGTGTGAGAAAGAAAGGGAGGGAGGACATTCCACAGAACAACTTGCTTCCGTGAAGTTGCTCTGTGCGACTTCCAAAAACAGATGCCAGCAGAGGAAAGGTGGCACATACAGCAAAGTGAGGATATGCATCAGAGGGCACATACGTACAATGCATTATGCATATGTACGGATCTGGGTAGGCCTACAAGAGGCTGCAGGTGAGGGGATGTGGCCCTGTTGGAAGCAGGAAAAGGTTTTCAGGGCTCCTGCCAGTAGGCTGGTGGTGAGAGCCCAGAAGAGGTGAGGCACAGGGATCTGACCAGCTGCTCAGTGAGACGATTTGCTGAAAAGCTGACTTGGATAGGATGGTTTTTATAAGCCCTGGAGAGCTGCTGCTAGTCTGTGTAGATCAGCCTTTCTCAACCTTGGGTCTCCATATGTTGTTGGACTACAACTCCCATCATCCCTGGCCACTGCTCCTGCTAGCTAGGGATGATGGGAGTTGTAGCCCAACAACATCTGGGGACCCAAGGTTGGGAACGGCTGGTGCAGACAGTACTGATCTAGATGGACCAATGGTTCAGTATAAGGCAGCTCCCTCTATCCTTATCTATTAATCGAGAGCCCTCCTTTCCCAGGCTTTTCTATTTCTCTCTCGCTTTGTCCCTCTCTCCTGCCTTCCTACTGCTCCCCTTCACAATTGTCCTCAGTCTCCCATTTCATCCCGTTCCTCTCTGGCTACTTCCTCCTGGCTTTCTACTCCTGCATCTGGCCATCTCAAGCCATCTTCCTATTTCCCAGGAGATCCCACAGCCACCCATGGATGATGTTACTTCCAGGTGCCAGGAAGGGGTTCCATGTTGGTGCAAGTCTGGGGCTGTTCTCAGGCTACAGGCTGCAGAGACTGGGTCACTGTGCACAGGAGGATTTCAGCGTGTATAAGCTGCCACACCAGCTGAAATGTCCTTTGCATTTACAGCTTCCCATTCTGAGCAGCTGCCAAAAGAGATTTATTTACTTTTGAAGAAGAGCAAGATGGTCAACTGTATCCACCGGTGACCAATATTAATCTCTGGTTTTTATTTATTTTTATTTTTTGCTTAACTTCAGCATGCCCTGTGTGAAAAATTCATTTGTCCCAGATTTAGAGGGACTTGGGAAGCCAATAAATCAAAGGCAGGCACAGGCTGAAATGGGCAACATTGGTCAACAGTTTCTGCCTGCCGCTTGGTAAACAGAAGCGCTCCAGTTGTGTCCTAGCCTCTTGTCAAGCATCAACACTGAGTCAACAACCCGCTCTTGTGGCTTAAGGCTTTTGATGTTTACTTTGTTCTTTCCACAGTTCAAAAGAAAAGCACTAATGCACCAGTCCTCTTACCAAATACTATCTTAATCCAAGAATCCAGAGCCTTTTGCTGTTGACCAGTTAAGTCTGTTAAGAAGAAAAGGATTTGATCAAGCTTTACATAACAACCCAGAAGTCAAATCCAGCTTCTTTTTTGGACCGGATCAGACGGCTCTTTTTATCTTTGCTGCTCAGATGCCTTGTTAATAACAAAGGGGTGAAGGGAGGGGTGGTAATGACACTGACAATGTGGAAACAAAAGCAAGGGATTCAATTATTTCCCTGTTTATTGCTTTGCCTTTTGGTCCCAACTTCGGTGCAATCAATGCTATGAAGGTTCCCAAAGCTGGGAAGCTGCAAATTCAACCAACTGCTATTTGTTTTAGTATGAGTGTTGGGGCTTTGGCACAGATCAGTGACATCAGACCAACAAAAGGCTACACGGTACTATTCTACTAACATGTGCCACAGTGCTACCAGGAAAGCATCACAGACCATTGGTTCGCAAGAGAAGGAAAGTGAAGAGAAGGAAAGTAATGGTCCTGGGGGGCTGTGACTAAAGCTCATCCTTGATACGGGACTAGGCACTAGCTGCAGGAAGCTGAAATCTGAGTCTCAGAAGGAATAGAACAGGCGTTGTTGAATAGAGCGCTGGGACAGATGCACAGGTAGGTCAATCCTCTTTTAAAGCCATCCAAGTTGTTGGCCATCACTACAACTTGTGGCAGCAAACTCCACAATTTAACTATGTGCTGTGTGAAGCACTTCCTTTTGTCTGTCCTGAATCTTCCAACATTCAGCTTCATTGAAAGCCCGTAAGTTCCAGCGTTATGAGAGAGTAGGGGGGAACTTTCCTCTTTTCCAGTTCCCCAACACCCCTGCACAGTTTTATACCCCTCCATCACCTCTTCTCCAAACAAAAAAGACCCAAATGTTGTAACCTCCCACCAGCCATAACCACATAAGAAGAGCCTGCTGGATCAGGCCAATGACCTATCTAGTCCAGCATCTTGTTCTCCCAGCAGCCAACCAGTTGCCTATGGAAGCCTGCAAGCACAACCTAAGCACAAGAGCACCCTCTCCTTCTGTGGCTTCCATCAACTGGTATTCAGAAGCATTTCTGCCTCCAACAGTGCAGGTAGAGCTAGCCTTATCTTCCGTGAATTTGTCTAATTCTCTTCAAATGCCATCCAAGTTGGTAACCCTTACCTCTTGTGGGAGTGATGCTGGTAGATTATTCCTTGCTGGAATAACTGTGGGTGGGCTTGTGGAACATCAAAGCACTACTTCATAGAGGAACCAATTCAAACAGAAAGAACAAGGAAGCCACAAGAAAGGAACCATCTACTTGCCTTGCAACTGCAAGGGAATCCAGCGAGGG